CATCATCACAACAAATCACAACACCACTGCTGACATCAGCACAAGATGAGTTTCGGCATTCTATTCAGAGGTATGCTGCTGCTGCTGCTGCTTGTTTATTTTCTGCTGATCACCATTACAATCTCACCCTTTTTCACACCCTTAGCTGTTCTTCTGCTCGCTGTCACCCACCACCAGACAGCCTGGGCACTGTACGACAAGTCGGACGCGGTGATCGAGCTGACGCCGGCAAACTTTGAGAGCCGCGTCACCGACTCGGATGACATTTGGATCGTCGAGTTCTTCGCCCCCTGGTGCGGCCACTGCAAGAGCCTGGTGCCGGAGTACAAGAAGGCGGCCACGGCGCTGAAGGGCATCGTCAAGGTGGGCTCGGTCGATGCGGACGCACACCGAGAGCTGGGCGGCCGCTTTGGCGTCAAGGGCTTCCCCACGATAAAGATCTTCGCGAAGAACAAGAAGAGCCCCATTGACTACAGTGGACCTCGAAACGCTCAGGGGCTGATTGACGCCGCCTTCAAGGAGCTGCGAAATGTGGTCAACTCGAGAATTGGCGGTGGTAGCAGCGGCGGCGGCAGCAGCGGTAGCGGCAGCAAATCTGGCGGCTCTGGCTTCGAGTCGAAGGACGTCGTCGAGGTGACCGACTCTAACTTTGACAAAGTAGTAAGTGGTGATCAACAACAAACAGTGCTTCTTAATCAAACTCCTAACTCATCTCTCTCTCTCCCTCTCACAGGTCCTCGGCACCGACGACCTGGTGATCGTCGCCTTCCACGCCCCTTGGTGCGGTCACTGCAAGAACCTGGCGCCCGCCTGGGCGCAGGCCGCCTCCGAGCTGAAGNTCGAGTCGAAGGACGTCGTCGAGGTGACCGATTCTAACTTTGACAAAGTGGTAAGTGGTGATCAACAACAAACAGTGCTTCTAAATCAAACTCCTAACTCATCTCTCTCTCTCCCTCTCACAGGTCCTCGGCACCGACGACCTGGTGATCGTCGCTTTCCACGCCCCTTGGTGCGGCCACTGCAAGAACCTGGCGCCCGCCTGGGCGCAGGCCGCCTCCGAGCTGAAGGGCAAGGTGGTGATCGCCGCCCTGGACGCCACCGTGCACACCGCCAGTGCCAACAAGTACGAGGTGCGCGGCTTCCCCACCATTAAGGTCTTCCCCGCGGGGAAGAAGGACGGCTCCGCCGAGGACTACAACGGCGGCCGCGGCGCGAGCGACATCGTCAACTTTGCCCTGGAGAAGATGACCGCCTCGCTGCCGCCGCCCGAGGTGACGCAGCTGACCAGCGAGGGCCAGCTGGAGACGGCCTGCAAGGACGCCCAGCTCTGTGTCATCAGCGTCCTGCCGCACATTCTCGACTGCCAGTCGGCCTGTCG